GTCTCCTGCGCATGCGCAGGAGACGCTCTTGCACTTTCGGGGGGATTTAAACATCCCCCCGAAATTTTTTAAAACTTTTTTTATTTTTGTGCACACGTGGGGACTGGCCCACGTGTGCACAAACCTCCCCCGGCCCCCCAGCTGCCCCCTCCGTGCTGATTTAAGTATCCGCACGGAGGGGGCAAGTTGGCTATTAGATATATAGATTGATCCATACAATGCACATGAAAAGGCAGACATTTTGTGGGGGGAAATGGTGCAAGAAAACAGAACAACTATAAAAATGCATACACTTTGTTTATGGAAATGGTTGCTCAACCCTTGTGGCTGTTGAGGCCACCTTTACCACCTCTGAAAGGAGGAAGAGGCATTTGGGTGGCCATGTGCTCATTTGGAGCTGTTGGAGGGTGGAGCCTACACTATTGTAAAGTTGGCCTTGCCCCTGATCTCCCTGGTGCTTTGTCATGTGCTCAGATTTTCCTTAGCTCCTTGGTCAGGCTGCAGCCTCGATGGTACCATCGAGTTTTCAGCCCCATTGCCAGAGCGTCACCCGGCTACATGCCCACGTCATGTCTGGATGACAGGATAGTGCAGCATCTGTGTTTTCCCTGCGGGAATGTTCCCACCAAGAACTATATGTCCCCCGCTGATTTGCGGTAAGTACTTGGTAACCCTAGGGGGGGAGCAATAGAGAGAAGGGGTGGGGAGGCAATAGATATCAAGAGTACAGGGGAAGTAAGTGGGAAAATCAGTTCTCCTTCCCTACGAGTCCTTGCAGGTCCCTTTCTTCCTGTAATTTTCATTTCTGACAAGTAGTTGCTTTCTGGATTGCTGAACTGCGACTACCCAATTACTCCCTTATGCTACTAATTAATCAATAAAGGATTTCTAAAATATTTCAAAGACCCAGGGAAGGGAAAGAAGAAATGGTGAGAGGGCTTCTGCTGAGAATTTTATTTTTTCAGGACTATCTTAATGGGAGCCTCCGTGTTCTTGTATTGGATTGTTTATTTGGCATTTTATCCTTCTCTCTCTGCAAAAGTCCAGGGCAGCATATATGTAGCTGTTTCGTTTTATCCAGACAGCAACATTGTGAGATGTTGACCTGAGACAAAGTCAAACAAACCAAATCAGGGAACTACGATGTGAATTTAGGCCTTGTCTGGACAGGGATCTGAACTTGGGCTGCCCAAATCCAAACTACTTACAAAAGTATATTGGCTGACATGTGGCAGATTCAAATCTGTTATAAGGGTGGAATGCAGAGAGAACTGCAGAACAGAAGCAGTTTCAAAATAAGCAGGAGGCACGTAAAGGCATCACAGTCAAATGAGCAAAGCCTCTGAAACATCCTTCAAAAAGTTATAGAACTCTGCTGCAGAGCAGGCTTTGCAATATCCCGCATCAGTGACTCCAGCGCTTACCAGATGCAGTTTGTCTCCTTCAATCCAATGTTTCCAGCCTCTATTTTTCTTTTCACCTTTCTGGATACAGACTAGTTTATCACCATCCCAGCTCACTAGTGTCTGCAAGGATCAAATGATAACATTCAGTAAGATCCAAGAAAATGTGAAAGTCTCCCAACAAACTGCGACCAAGGTGACACAGCTGTAGCGTATTGCCGGGAGGGAAAGCAATAGCAGACAACAGCACTCTCCCCCCCCTCCCTCACCCAGCCCTTCAAATTCAAGTTGGAAACTAGCCGTGTCAGTTAAAGTGGTTTATGTTTCCAATTCACAGCTATTTCGCCTGACACAATGATCCATAATGTACACACAAAAGAAGAGAATTAGATAGAGTGAATTTATGATGGAATTTGCCAACAAAAAGAGGAGTTGAGATCTGAAATCTGCATTATTCTGTTCACTTTAAAAAGAAAGTATCAAAAACATTATAAAGCACAGCAGTAGGGAAGCCATGCATCATTGTAACTATTTCCACATCAAATGCACACACTTCTGCTTCAGAAGGGTAGATGTTATTCCAGCTACAGTCCTACGAAAGATTTCCAGGGAGTCAGCTCCACAGAAGTGCACTTACTCCTGATTGTAAGCAGCTGGGATTTTAGGAGATCCAGTGTACCTCCTAAAACTTGGGCAGCCTTTGGGAATATCGTCTGCATGTTACACTGGAAGATCCATGGTTGTAACTTGATATTTGGTGGGAGTGGGGGAGGGCTAAATAGGACATGTTGAATTCTTCATGCACCCTGAACTTCCACTGGATTCAAACCTGAGCCAGGGGTCTCTTTCAGAGGGTAGCTGTGTTGGTCTACATTAGAACAGCGAGGGTCCCGGTCACACCAGCAGGAAAAGCCGTGGGGGAAGTGCTGCTTTTTAGAGCCGCAACAAACTGAAGTGCGCTATTGGGATCTCACATTCCCCCGCGGCTCCATCCTCTGGCAGCTGATCACACCACGTGAGGCAACAACGACGCACCGTGTTTGTGTGCATGTGTGGGATGTGGAAGGGCGCTGGATGCGATGGCCTACCAGGGCGTCCCTGCGCCGCGCGTTTTCCTGAAGATACTGCTTGTTTGCTGGTACCTTTTAAAACTGCATTTTTAGCTGGAAGGGACGGGTTGGGGGGCGGGGGCTTGCCAGATGTTGGCATCTGATCGCACTGGTTTAAACCGCCCTCAATCCATCCATTTCATGGGGCAAATCCTCCCGTGTGACCAGGGTCTAGATTTAGCAACTTAGATACCAACAAGATTTTGGTGGGTATAAGCTTTTGAGAGTCAAAGCTACTTTTGTCAGATACTTTCATATCTGACAAAGGGAGCTTTGACTCTCAAAAGCTTATACCCCCAAAAATCTTGTTGGTATCTAATGTGCCACTGGACAAAAACCAAACAGGATCTGGGGAGTGTCTTTCCCCTACATGAATGTCATTGTCTCCCTGAAGATCCATGAGGTGGGGGGAATACATATCATATTTGTAATTTCTGCCGACAGGAGCAGATATCATCTTGGGAGGGGTGGATGTAGATGGGGAAAGGGGCAGAGAGGAAAGGGCTATATACCACCACTTGCTTCCCTAATCAAAGTAGCAGTTTCCTGCCCACCCTATCCTTTGGTTGCAATATGAAGTGGGGTGTGGGGAGATCAGTCAGTGATTTCTCTTCGTAATTTGTATCTTGTGCTTCAGCAACAAGCATATGCCATCAGGAAAAAAATGGAGAGGACTGCAAGCATGGAAGTGCAGATGTATACCCTGAAGACTTCCGTGAATCCTAACCAGTGGGCAGTATCCTACCACCCTCCATGCAGAAAGTATAATTCTCCTGCATTCCTCTCCATAGCTGCAGCTCTGTCTGACCCCTGGAGGAAACAGTCCATGTTCAGTGAGTAGACTTGCATGAAGGAAAAGCCACAGGGCTTATGGCTGGAATAAGGAGGGACAAGGAGTTGAAAATCACTCCTTCTTCTTCAGCAAGTGCAGCTCAACTGTGTGTGGGGGGGAGGCAGTTTCATCCCCTTATCCCTCCTCACTCCAACCTGCTGACCCTCACTGCTGTTTGTCTGCATGAGTTCAGTAATCCCAGCAGGGGTCATTTAGTAGAAAAAGAGGTGCAGGAGCTTATTAGCATAACTCATTAGCATAACTTATTTGCATATGCCACACCCCCTGACATCACTGGAAGTGTGTCAGAAGGCAACACCCACCGCTCAGGCTCCACTGGACTGTTTTGGATTGCTAGCTATTGGGGGGGGGGGGGAAGCGGCAGGCTTGTCCTCCCGATCCTCGCAGAGGAGGGAGAGCTTGTACCTGAATAAAACTTGGTCTTAAAGGTGCCACTGGACTGTTTTGGACCGGGGGGGCTGGGGGGAGGGCTCTGCAGCTTACCTGGTTGCTTCTTGCTCTGACTGAGGGCTGCTGGGAGCAGGGGGTGGGGCTTGTTGCATGTGCCCGCCCCCTGGGCTCTTTGCTGCCAGAGCTCCGCTCCTGTGCGCTCCTGCAGGAAATGACCCCTGAATCCCAGAAGTCATTTTTCTGGAGGTCAAAGGGAGCTGCAGCAATGGAGGGGTCCTCGGGAAATCTCTGTATAACTTCCAAACATGAATGGTACAATGTTGTCTAATATTGTCTTTTCTTTTCTTTCCTCCCTCCCTCCCTTCTTTCCTTCCTTCTTTCCTTCCTCATGTAGTCTTCATTACAACCCCTGTGAGTATCTGGAAACATCCTACATTTCTGGATTGAAAGCTAGAGACGTACACAATGGGTTCCTTGAAATAATTAATTCCTGCTTCTTTTGCAAAAATAGCCTGTGGTGGTGAGGCATATTGGGCAGAAATCATCTTGATAAGAGATCAAATAGGATTATAAGAGAAATGAGCTGCTTTTTCTTCTTTCAAGCAGATAACAGTAGAAAGATAGGAGGAGAAAATTGAGGTTGCAGAAAGTTCAGTGAGGAGGCACTTTTGTTTCTCGATAGGCCAGTAAAGGATGGCTTTGACAGAGGTGAAAGGAACATCCTATGATTTCAGGGCATAGAAAGATCACAAATGACAAGAAAGATGTTGGATATGAGTAGCAAATTTCTCTCTGCACTCTTTGGAGAAAAAAAAGTAATTAGAGACAGCAATATTTTCCATTTGGTTCTAGTGATGTGATATAGTCACAGTTTGCATTAGACCATTTTTAACTCTGGTTGGAACTAGGAATAAAAATTCACCATAGGCAACAGGCTACACATTGCAGAGTTGGTCATTGCAAAATGAGATCTTATTTCTGGATTGAGGAGCCTCCTCTAATCTCTTTTCACTTTACTCCATAGGTGGAAATGAGGGTAAAGGCTATGGATGAGTAGCAGAGTAGACACTTGGCATGCAGGAGGTCCCAGGTTCAGTCCCTGGCATCTCCAGTTAAACAGGTTGCAGATGCTGGCAAAGGCTGAAGGTCAAAATTAGGGAACTCAGACAGGGTGTGCCATGTAATGGGAAGGAGGGAAGAACCTTTTATTCCAGTACCAGAGTACTTTATCCAGGCCCAGAGACATTGATTGAGACATTTTGGTGTAGTGGTTTGGTGTTTGGTGTAGTGGTTAAGTGCGCAGACTCTAACCTGGGAGAACTGGATTTGAGTCCCCACTCCTCCACTCACACCTGCTGGATGACCTTGGGTAAGCCATAATTTTGTCAGAGGTGTTCTCGAAAAAGAGCAGTTTCTCTCAGCTCTCTCAGCCCCACCTACCTCACAGGGTGTCTGTTGTGGGGAGGGGAAGGGAAAGGAGTTTGTAAGCTGCTCTGAGACTCCTCTGGGTAGTGAAGGGTGGGGTATAAATCCAATCTCCTCCTCCTCCTCCTTCTCCTCCTCCTTCTATAATGTATTTCAATGGAGCCCATGCAAGTCAATTGGCATTCACTGGCTCGCATTATCTCTAATGGGTCTTCAAGCCTCTCAGATTGTTTCCATTGGGCAATTCTGTAATCCCTTTTAGTACATCCCTCTTCTGGGCACTAGTACACTGCACTGGTTCTACTGGGCTTGCAAAAGTACCCCGCATCCACACACACCACCTTCAGTTTCTACTGCTTGACATTAGTCCTGTTGGGTTTATATTGCCACAGTGGCACTGGTTCTGCTGGGCTTGCAAAAATGCCCCCCACCTTCAGTTTCTACTGAGAGATTCTCTTGTTTAACCTTAGTTCATTGGAAACAACGGAGGATGGGAATGCCTTCTTTGGGGGGCTTTAACTCAGACCCTGTAAATTCAATCCTCACAACACTTGGAGGGCAAATAGAGGAGAGTCATCCAGAGATCCCTTGTGAGTTTGGTTGGTGTCTTTAGCACACAAGAGGGCTGTTCTATCATGTCATGAATCTCACAAACTGGTTAGTTTGGCCCCTAAAAGTTCGTGATGGCTCATAGTTCACAAACTGGGCACACCACAAACCACAAACCAAACCAAATTTTCCCTGTTCATGCCCATCCCTAGTCAAAATACACAATATTGAGTTAGGTGGACCAATGGTCTGACTTGGTAAACAGCAACTTCACATCTATGATAAAAACTAAAAACCAATTCTGAATTTGGGTCCATTCAGATGTCTCTTTAGATCCACATCAGGTACAAGTGCCTGGTGGATTTAAAGGTAATGTCCAGACACAAACATCTGGGAAATGTCCCTGTTCCGTGGGCATCCCGTTTTGCCGCACTTAGGAGCCGTACTTAAAAGATACCCCTTTAAATCTGGAGTTTTTGGGTCCCGACGGGACAACCACAGACTTTCACCTGTCTGATCATTCCACCAGCACACAATCCTCCCATTGGGGTGGTCTGACATCAGACCATCCCAAGCGGGTGCGATTTTTAAAAAATCACTACTCAATATGTGCTTAAACGCATTTAAAAATGAGGCTGCAGAACCCCAATCCAGCGCCACGAACACTTCAATGTTTTGAATAACCTGTGAGTTTAAGGACAATTGGTTAATGAGATGGGAGATGGAGGTAGGATGGGTCTTTTGACATGCAAAATAGTCCCTCCAGTGAACATGATCTCAATGGCAAGGGGGATAGCCGGGACTCGTTTAGCCCAGCCCTGCAAGCGTAGGTCAGAACAGAAAACGAAAACGAAAGAATAATTTGGTCATGCTTAGGCTGTCCTGTTGGTTGGAATTACAGCTACGCGTCCCTCACATGGTGCTTTGAACATTTGATTCCGCACATGTGCAGATCTACAAGGACGTGCGATCATGCCTATGCACATGTGCAAAAAGGTTTTTTTAAAAAACAACCCACTGCGTGTGCAGTGGTGTCATCTAGACAATCCACAGCGGAAGCAGCACGCGGTAAGGCGATTCCCCCGGGGGATGTCTTGTCATGTGAGGATGGATTAAAAAGATCGGGATCAAATTTGAGCTGGCATAATGGCGGGGTTAGCTGCCCGTCTGAACGAACCATTGACAAGTAACTTTTACAGGACTCACCCTTGACAGAAATAGCTCCCATATGTAGCCATATGTAGCCAATTCACAATGTCAACTGTAGAAGGCAAAGGCAAAACCACAGGAAAAAGCTTTTCCATAACAGGTTGCACTTACAATATGCATTAAAACTCTTTCTAACACCTCTATTTGTAGCTGATTACAGAGGTGTAGATGTATAGTACAGAACATAAGCAGTTCAAGGCTGCCAAAATACGAACTAGTCAAAACACAAGAAAATGGCCAGATGGTTATTTATTAGTAGAGAAACAAACTGTGAGGCAAGAGAACTGTGAGAGAGTAGAGAAACAAATTGTGACCTGGGCCACAAAATTCAAAGAAGTGCATTATAATAAATATAACATTTATTGTCTGTGCCTTAAATGTAGGTACTTTCAGTCCTCAAGAGCTTTTCTACCCAGTAGATGGTTTCTTTCCTGACAGTTATCTACTGCTGGCTGGCTCCAAGTTTGGGAGGGCGTCCTTGACATATGAATGTGTGCCTGTGGGCCACTGCCTGTGGTCGTAGCACAGCATAACTCTTCCTTTTGCTGCTTTGGGAGTAAAGGGAAGAGGAAGCAACATCTGTGTGATTCCACTGGAGCTGGGTATTGATGCTTTCTGCGTTTTGCCCTGAGGAAGTTGAGCTTCTGAGGGGTGGAGAGGTCAGGAGCAAGTGGTGGATGCAGCTTGGTCATTGGTGCACCCACCCGTGGCCTCAGCAGCTCTATAGCAGTGCCGAACCCTGATTCCAGCTGTGATCTATTGCTAACTTGATCAATCACGATCATACTTCAAAGACTGAACACCAAAGGAGCATTATCTACTTATGTGCTCAGTTACATCATTCAATGCTTCATTTTCCTGATCTCTTGACTCTTCTTATATATAATCTTGAAGCATTGTTATGCTTTATTGAAGTTGTTTTGCCTCTTTTATAATTGCTTTTATATTCATCCATATTTCTCAGTTGCAATAACACAAAATGGTAATCTTTTAATAGAGACTATTAAATCTCTCTTTGTCTGTGTGAACGAAAATCTAACTGAAGAGGGGGAAGGCTCAATTTGGGTCCTTTCATAATGTATCCTTCTGGATTTTATTCCCTACAGAGGTCACCTCATCCTTGAGAAATGGGCTCAGCAGCTGCAATTTATAGTAAATTGACTGGACCAAGTTTAACCGTCAAGTGGTGATTATTCAAGGGCTGTGCAAGAACAGAGATCACCCTGAAACCGTTCTGGGTAGAAATGATATGTAGCAAATGCAATTTTCCAAGGTCATAGCAGTGAAAATAAGTCACAGAAGTGGTTGCTCATTAAGGAAGTGGGGTGCTGAAAATTAGACTCCCAACTGAGCACCAGATATGTTTGAGAAGGTGAGCTTCAGGGATGGTGGCCCACAGGAATTATCTTGGAGGTTTGCGATTAAATTGGCAATGCACACATTTTTAGAGCATTTTGTGTGATTGCCTTTTGATACGGCATAATAACCAGGAAAAATCATAGATGATATTAAATAGAGGGGGTTATCTCTCCCAACTTTTCTAAGTGGCAGTTAACTGTCAGACTTATATAAAGAGAGGAGCAGAAGGCTTATACCAAGTTGCATCCAGCTAATATAGATAAGAAATACAGTATCCAAAGGTATGAAGGAAGGGAGCTTTGAAGCTAGAATCTCCCGTGAAACTACAGAAAGCTGACCCCAGAAGGAACGCTTCACATGTGAACAATATTTCTCAACATAGGAAGCATTTCTGAGTAGGAATTTGCAGGATACTTGTATGTAGTTATATATACCACATATGTGTTTCATTTGTTTGTCTTTCTCTGTGCAACCTATTCTAGGAAGTTTTGGTTCCAATTCAAATGTTACAAAACTTGCACAATAAAGGTACTTATTGGCAAAAAAATTCTGGAAAGTCACTTGTAGGTCAGGATGTGGGATTTTATTCTTTGTAAACATGGATTCACATACTGGGGAGACATGGACAGGGCAACTGAACTTTTAGGTGTCGTTTCATGACTCAAATCTTTCTTTTTGACCAGTTGAACTCATGCTGGGGGAAGGTGCGTTATTCATAACTGTTTCTCAGGGGACCCCAAAGCAGCTAGGAGATTTCAATTTCCAGAAGTAAAATGGGGCAATGGGGGAAAATAAAAGAGCCCTCCTATCAATCTCCACCTTCAAACAGCAGCCCCAGTGGCAGCATATTGTTAAAAAAAGGGGAAATGATTCAAAGATTAATGATACAACATATCCTGGCCTTATATGGCATTCAGTAATGAAGCCATGTGTTCACAGAGTGCACATGAACACATGAAACTGCATTAGAATAGAATTAGATCAGAATAAAAGTCAGTATTGTCTGTTGAGACTCGCAGTGGCTGTCCAGGGACTCAGGCAGAGGGCTTTCACATCACACTCCACTAGATCATTTAACTGGGGATGTTGGGGAGTGAACCTGGGACCTTCTGCATGCCAAGCAGATGCTCTACCACTGAGTCATGGCCCCTTCCCAAGTATAATTCTGATGATGATGATTTCAATTTATGAACTGCCCCATCCTTGTAAAAACATGTCCATGTGATATCCATATGATGATGTAAAATCCAACATTATGCTGTGCATGTGAGTTCCCAGAACATTTTTACAATGAAACTCATTTTTGCATACTGTTTTGTATCACGTGGAGTCTTGCCACTTGAAGTAAAGAGACCGATTTCCCAGAGAGTGGACAGGATTGAGAGCTAGTGCCCACAGGTTGTCTTAATAGCAACCTTAAACAAAAATTACTTCTACCTGTGCCATCAGACTTATTGAATATGCAAAATTCAGAGTGCGCTCCTGGTGTAGAAGGCAGTTCACCACAAACAGGGCACTGTAGGGAGTAAACCCTAGGCAGAAATCAAAAACTTGCTCTCACAAATGCAATAGTTTTTTAATAGCAGCCCAGAAGGGTGAATCACTCAGCAGCTACTTCCCCCACACAGAAGAACATGCTTTAGCCTTTGGGGACCTGCAGGAGAGAGCCTCCAGCTATCAACAAGGGGTGCATGAGCCTCTGAAGATGGAAAGCCGATGAAAAAGTAATCTGGTCTTGCTGTCACAAGCCTGAAAAATTGTCATCATTTACATATAAAATAAATACTTGCAATAGAAGAACATCCTGTTTCTGAAATGCAAATCACTGCCTCTTTATAAATAAACATTTCTTTAACATTTATAATTTGCTTTCCTCCTTTTTTTTTTTTTTGAACGTCAGGTGCCGGTGTTGACTGCTGTGTAAATGGAAAACAAATCATAGGTTTCTACCTTCACCACTCGGTTGTCAAGCCCCTTGGTGTGCTCTTCAAATTCTTCGCCTATGGTGTAATTCACGTCATAGTTCCTGAAAGTACTCAGTGTTTTTGTCTTGAAATTGTCTCCTTCTTGAATAATTTCTTTCGTTTGTTTCAGGTGTTTTGCAATCTTACGTGTAGCAAAGTCAATGTCTGTAAATACCCCAAGAAACATTCCTGTTAATAACGTACCCACTACATTCAGACTTAAATTTCCCAACTGTACGGTTACAGTCCAAAGAGATATGTGGGCCCAGAGGTTCTGCTCCTTTTTTTGGTTGAACAGCAATACCCCCTGCTACACTGTGTTTGACACATCATTTGTTTTAGAAGTAGTTTGCTGAACCAGTGGAAGGATGGCCAATCTTAATTTCAGAGTACAGTTTCAGCAAAAGGCTGATATCTTATTATGAAAAGGTACCTAGTTCTCATTTATCCCAACCGACTAGCTTTTACAGTATCAAAAACATGACTAAAGAGAGATGCAGTGATCAAACCTGGACCCTACAGATTATGCACTTTGTCTAGCCCGAACTACAAAAAGGTTGTTGATAAGAGAAAGATACTGCAAGCACTTTAGACCATACAAAAGACACCATTTGCCAAAGCTGTCCAGTTTGGTGCAGTGGTTAAATGTGTGGACTCTAATCTGGGAGAACTGGGTTTGATTCCCCACTCCTCCACTTGCACCTGCTGGATGACCTTGGTAAGCCATAGTTCTGGCACAGCTGTTCTAGAAAAAGAGCAGTTTCTCTCAGAGCTCTCTCAGCCCCACCTACCTCACAGGGTGTCTGTTGTGGGGAGGGGAAGGGAAAGGAGTTTGTATGATGCTCTGAGACTCCTCTGGGTAGTGAAGAGTGGGATATAAATCAAATCTCCTCCTCCTCCCCCCCCCTCCTCCTCTTCTTCTTCTTCTATGATCATGGAAAACAAAATCCTCCCAGCTCCCTGCATTAGTAGCACGTTGCATTGTTGCTTCAAGGCCTTTTACACACCCTCATTCTGGGTAATGTTATTGAGGAAAGCTACTAGACTGCCCTTTTGTGCTTACTGGGCCCATCCCCGGACTACTTTCCAACCCCCACCCCTTGCTGTCCATGTACCCCTTGTTATGATCTCTGAATGTAAGAAGAGTCCTTCTGCAGCAAAACAATAGTTCATTTAGTTTAGCATCCTGTTCCCCATAGTGGCCAACCCGGTGCTCCATAAGGCCCACAATTTGGGAGATAGCTTTCCCTTGCTGTTTCCCTCACAGTACCTGGCATTCGAAAGTATACTGCCTCTGCGCACTGAAGTTCCCTTTAGTCATCACTACATCCTGTGACCGTGAGACCCCTCCCAAGTTATGAGTGTTGTGAAAAAGTACTCTACTTCCTGATTTGCCCAGCATAATTATATCCTGCCTTTGCTTCAGTGTTATGAACTATGAATGTGGCTTTGGCTCTTTGCCTGTGCTACAAACTTTATACCTGTTTGTCTCCTGTGCTCAGTTTTTCCTAGCAGGTAAAACCTGACCTTACAAACATGGTAGATACAAAATGCCTGACCCTGACACAATTTGCACATGTCACTAGTGATGTGGGAGCTTCTGAGATCTCATACAGTTGTGGTATGTGCTTGATTATCACATTGGTGGATGTGTGGGAGGGCTGTGACTGAATGGGAAAGATCTATATACCTGCAGAGGCCTAGTATTCAGATCACAGCTGGTGACATGTGTGGATGGGCCTTATTGGAGGACAGATGTCAGTGTTTTAAAATAATACAACGAAAGCTTTTCTGAGCCATTTCAGTGGCCTCTTTAGTTCCACATCTAGATCCCAGACAAGTATCAACTGCCAGAGAGGAAGTGGGCAGGACAGTATGGCTTCTGGCTATAATATAGCACTTCTTTGTCAAGTTTCTGGTTTACAGACATTTTAAGATGTCATAAATTTCATAGTATGTTCGTGAGAATCATGCCTAATATCTGTTACTGTTGATGAATTTGTCTAGACAAAATCTAATACCATCTAAAGAAATCTAAGGAAGGAAACCAGAACAAGACGATCTCTTCTCCTTTTGTAATTTTGCACATCATAAATCTCATCATTTTAAAAAATTCTGTTCATGATGCAAATACATAAATATCACCAACGACACTAAAAGATGATATCAAAAGAAGCACATGTGTTATTCAAAGAGTCTGTGAGAAAAATACAACACATGCCTGCCATATTATGAAGTGCAATTAACATTTTTGCTCAGATGGCAAAGAATCCTATTAGATGCTGATGAAATACCAAACATATTCCTTCAATAGACTAAACATAGTTGGGTTTGTTAGGCATTTTTATCTTTTCCCATGTAAGCATATTGTGATTATCATTTGAGTTAACCATAGTGAAATGGAACTCATTTTCTTTCAATAAACACATTACAGCTCGGTGTAGTGCTTAAAGCATTAGACGAGGATTAGATTCCACTGTGCCATGAAGCCTGCTAGTTGACTTTGGGCCATCATTCTTTTTCAGCATAACCTACCTCACAAGATTGTTATGAGAGTAAAATAGAGGAGGAGGGATTAATGTATGTCACCGTCAGCTCCTTGGAGGAAGGCAGGACAGAAATAAACTAATTAAATAATTGAACAAAGTTTGAGTCCAATGGCACCTATATAGGCTTACCAAGTGGCGGCGGGGGATCCACATGTCTTTACAGGAACCCTGCCGCGGGGACGGCGATATGAGTTGCACCCGCCGTCGCCAGGATGTGATGCTACACATCGCTCTGGCAACGGGGCTGTTTGGAGTCCCGTTGCCAGAGCGACGCGTAGCGTCACATCCTGGCGACGGCGGGTGCAACGCGTATCGCCGTCCCTACGGCAGGGATCCTGTAAAGACATGCGGATCCCCCGCCGCCACTTGGTAAGCCTACCTATAACACCAACAAAGTTTAATTCTGGGTGTAAGCTTTCATGTGCATGCACAATTCTTAGAAGGTGCCACTGGACTCAAACTTCTGTTGCTTCAGACCAGCACGGATACCCATCTGAATCTAACTCAATAATGGTTATAAATCCAGAGGAGTTAGTCATGTTAATCTGTTGCTGCAAAATAGTAAAAAGTCCAGTAGCACCTTTAAGACTAACAAACTTCATGGTAGCATAAGCTTTTGAGAAACACAGCTCTCTGCATCTGATGAAGAGAGCTGTGTTTCTCGAAAGCTTATGCTACAATAAAGTTTGTTAGTCTTAAAAATGCTACTGGACTTTTAACTAAATAATGGTAATCCTGAGTTGTTATTCAAAATGACCAATGGCTACTGATAATAATGTTTTTAATTTAATGCAAATATTTTTTTTTACTAGCAACTATTCAGTGTGTCAAAAGCTTTCAACAAACAAACCACCAATGTCTTTTAAGAATGTATGTAGTTATTTGTCAGACTAGGGACAAAAAAGTGGAGGGGGGGACTTAACCCTGAAACCTGGGATCCAGAACCTGAAGAGGCAAGTCAAACAGAACAGAGGGCCAACAATAAAAACTTAATGTATATAATATTAAAAGATACATGTATTTATTAACAAAGAATTAAAAAACATATAAGGGCCCAATCACAAATTTTAAAAAAATAAAAAATAAATAAAACAAAAACATGTGAAATTAAATACATATAATAAAATGAATAAATAAACAATACCTATATTCTACTAAAAACACATTGACTTACTTTCAAAGTGAAACCACTAGGCACAGAATAAAAATATAATGAGGCCTCCAAAGATGTAATCACATGCCAAATGATATTTCACTGATAATAATCTAGAAGCAATTTTTTTTTCAATATTGTAGATTGCATTGGTTTAATTTTTTTTTGCATCTAGATTATTACATGTGATTACATCTTTGGAGGCCTCAGTTATATTTTTATTCTGTGCCTAGTGGTTTCACTTTGGAAGTAAGTCAATATGTGCTTTTAGTAGAATATAGGTATTGTTTATTTATTCGTCTTATTATATGTATTTAATTTCACATGTTTTTTATTTTTACAGCAATTCTTTTCTGGTCCATTTTGTATCCATGTTGCATAATTGTATGATTCTATTGCATTATGATATAAGCCAATTTGTTCCTCATTGTGTTTGACCGCTGATGAAGCCCTATACAGGCCGAAATGTGTCAGGTCAAGTCCATTGGCCCTTGTGTGTAAGATTTTGGTATTTTTACATGAGGTGTGATTGGGCCCTTATATGTTTTTTAATTCTTTGTTAATAAATACATGTATCTTTTTATACTATATACATTAAGTTTTTATTGTTGGCTCTCTGTTCTGTTTGACTTGTAGTTATTTGTCAACAGAAAAAATGTGTTATATATCATTCACTGTATGCAACAAAATATTCCTGCATGTATGAAACTTTTGACATTTAAAGATATAGTCACGCACATTTAAAAAAACATATAATAACCTTTCCCAGTATCATGGACCTAATGGATATCAGTTCTCTAACCAAGGTTGTTTTTTAAAAAAACAACAGCAATAATAAGAATTTACCTATTGGGTATCTGACCACAGATTTCCATCCTCACATGCAGTCTAGGACTGCTGACTTCAGCATGCTAAATAAGCAAGTAATAGCTTAGGTGTGCTCTCTGATGGTGTGTTGCAGGGACATTATGACAAAACTGCAGGAAGTAGCACAAACTTTGTAGAATTCTATAGCCAACATATTGCTGGAGCCATTTTGGCATGAGTTAAATAGGGCTGGGCATGTATGTGTGCTTGTGTGCACAAGGTCATTTATTCAGAAAAACTTTTCTTTTCAATAACATATGCTGGAAGTGTGGCTGCTCAATCATACTGTTACAAACATCTTCCTCTAATAACTGGTGTGTCTCAATTCATTGCTCCTTTGGAGTTTCAAATGCACTCATGAAACATGCAAGGGCAATGGTGGGATATGGGCTGCATATAGTCCTTAGGGCTAGCTTGCTCCTGTTGATGCAGAGGCAATTAAAATGGGGATGATGCAGAAAGATCTATGTTTCCAAGGCTGCATGCCTCAGTACTAACAAACCTGAGAGCACAGGGAGTGGCTCACAGACTTTGATCCACAAGGTTCAGTCAGTTTTTCTGATCCATTTGTGGTTTCTACCGATATTACTGCCGTCCGCCTCTCTGCTAAGCAATGCCTGCTTACTTTTTCAATAGTTTTCAAGTCTTTGCAGACATAATATATAATATAGCAAAACCAAACAAATTCTTATGCATGAAATACAAAAACAAAGAGAAGGTCTACAGCTGCAATCCAAAACAAATTTACTAGGAACTATATCACATTGCTGTAGTTAACTCTGGAGAAACCTGTTTAGAATTGGACTACAAGTCTGTAGCAGTTTAAAAGCATAATTTACTGAATCATATCTACTTTTTATATTTACCTAATGCAATCATGTAACCTTCAAAGTTTTCATTTGTTTCCATTTCCCATGTTCCATTGTAATCAGCCGGCATTGCAGCTAAGAGTTCAAATCCAAGGACGGATCAGATATGGAGCTTGGAAGGAAGAGTTGCAAAAAGAATGTGCTGTAATTCTGTCCTTTTTATATTTCTTTGACTAGAGTTTATAGCTCCCAAGATAATAAAGTCTAAAGATCAGCAAGATAACCTAAACAGGACTTTATGTTCTTTATCAAGGTTCAAGAGGAAAACACACAGACAGCAAATAGATTTCTGAGGCTGGGAGTCAGAAAGAAAGTGATTTTGCAGTGACCTTTGTAAAATGTAAGGTTTTATGAGTATACCTCTGAAACATTCACTACATAATGGCAAGTTAAACCTGAAGCTTAAAATCAGAATTCCCTTCAGTTAGCAAAACTCCCATTTGAATCCTATGCAAGAATGAAACATTTATTTTCTATTTCAAAAGTATGTTACACGTGGTTCCCCAAACAGACTATCAGAGATTCGGTGCCAAAGTGTCCTGAACATTTATATTCTAAGAGTGATGAAGAAGCAGCCAAAGCATTGCCTGGCTCTCTCAGGCATCAGTTCATACTATCAGAGCAAACACTTTGTGCAGGGGGTTTTCTGAGCAGTGCTTCTGATACTGTAGCTAGTACAAGTGGCTTTCATTTCTGTCCATGACCTTGGACAACATGCTTCTCAGCTTGGGAAAAGTTAGGGAATGGAAGGATAGGGCCTAGAGAGGCAAATAAGGTACGGACAGCAGACAAATAACTTTAGGGTTGATTGAAATGAGGAAAAAAATTAGCATGTTCCTGAACTGTACTACTACAATCGGATGTTCTACTATGGAAGGACATGTTCAGGTTCTGATTAGGGATGCTGTGAACTTTGCAGCGAACATGTTCAACAAGCAAACATAACATGTTCAACAGCCACAATCACCATGAGTTGAACCTCTGATTAAGCTCACCTCTCCACCATCTGTCCTGTAGGGCTGTCAAAGAGCTTTGCAGCTCTGCAGTAGCTGGTGACAGTGGCCTTTCCTTGCCATGAGGGGGCTTTTCCATCTGTAGAGCAGAACCAGGCAGAGGACCAGGATCAAAGATCAAATCATTACATGACATAGGGGAGCTAGACACCACATAATGATGCCCCCAAGGCCCTCACCCCTGGGGACCCCCCATTTTTCTCATGGCTTGTTCTCCCTTTTCCTATACATATCTACACCTCATTGGGGGCCTAGAAACGATAGAGCATAAATTAAGGTGCTAAGGGATAAAAGACTTGCCAAGCCATTCTCATGGGTATATCTCTCACCACTTGGGGCACAGCTGGGTGGGGTGCATCCTTGATGTGCTGAGCATCCTTTGCTGCTCCAGGCATCTCCTTAACCATGCTGTGCTGGCCAAGGGCTGCTGATTTGGTCAGGGTAATCTCCGCAGCCATAAGCCCCCTAGGACTTTTAATGGCCAATCCACCCATGACAATCAGGTTGTACAAGAATGTGCACGTGTGAAATACTGCTGATTGTATTGTATTGTAGTGTAATGTTTGGATATGTGAAAAGTAACTTGACAAACTGGCTTGAACTGACTGATGCAAAACTGAGGCAATTAGTTGTTCACACATCCCTGTTTCTAGTTTGGCTCATTTTATTTATATCTTTTAATATTGTTACTTCACGTATTTGAGACTGTTATTTGGGGATAGTTTTGCTTTTGCTTCAGTGGGAAAAACAGCTCCATTGACTTTTCTCCTTCCTCAGGGATAGTATAATTCTTAGGGATTATAGCCCTCACACAAGGGTTCTTCCTTGTCAAATTGCAGGACACTCATCACCATGTGCTTACTCTGCAAGGGAGAATGTTAATAGTTTGTAAAAAGGGGGTCAACATCTCTTCCTCTACATTCTCAGGAATTTGAACAGGCTAATTTTCCTTTCTTTCCCTTATGTATTTCCCCCTTTAACTGATGCTTAACAACTGTTAATATTCTGTGCTTCCTGAGACATACTGAATCATTATCAGTCAATTTCTAGAAGTTGTACTCCCCTACCCATTTGGTTTGATTAACAAAGTCATATTTTTCTGCATATTTGATGAGTTCCCCAAGTATTTAGAAACTGCTACTTTGTATTTATACATCCGAGGGGCAAACTATGCATTACAATGGATATTAATCTGATGTGGGTTTCGAGTTCCTGGTGGGAATTTCATTTAAAGCTGTTGCAGGGACAGATTTAGTTTTGGACTGGAGAAATGGTACAGTTGGGAGGCAAGAGCCTTTCCTCCCCCATGCCATGGTCCTGATCTGAATCTGACTTCCTCACCACTTTTACATGGAGTTCCCACTGGAAACTTTTAGCTGTAATATCGGTGCATATCTTCATGACAGACTGACATATATTGTAATGTATAGTTTGGCCCCTGGCATTTTCTGTTTTAGTGATCATAAAGGAAGCCAGATTTTACTATTAGAAGGACATATTTTTACATCAAGTGTTTTATGCATAGCTCCATATTCAGGGCATCAGGACAAATGACATGATATTGTATGTTCAGGTGCTTCGTAGCCACATAGACTTTCTTATTACTATAATCCAGCACCATTTTGGAAGTATCTGCTTTGTCAGTAGCAGGATGGCTTTTTGCTTCCTTGAACAAGGAGATAATGCTGAGGTCAGCTTCCAATTTTGTTAGAGAAGTGATGTCTTGCTATCACAGGTCTCCAAATGTAATGTTATTTTCTTCCTGCCTGCAGCTGAAAACATACTGAAGAAAAAAAGCTTTATCATAAGATGTAGACACTTGTCAGAAGGTCTCAGGAGACAAACTGTAAAATACTAAAAGCAATATGGGTAGCTTCATTCAGGGAATTTTGAAATAAGATAAGAGGCAGAAAAACCTATTAAGCCTCTAGGTAACTTTTGACTTCATTTACACTAAATGAGCTTTTAGAATGACTCCTTCAACATAAAGTTGAATAGCAGTTACTTACACCGGTCAAAGTCTGAAGGAAAAGCTTGGCCATTCTTTAAAAAAATGATTGCTGAGTATAAGGAAAATATACAAATGTAGGTTCCATTCAAATATTATGATTCTGTGTAGCTATCTGATAGCATCAGAGGCAGGACAAGCAAATCGGATGGACAGGAAGGGAGAGCCACTATATTGTAGTGGTTAAGAGTGTCAGGCTAATATCTGGAAGGCTTGTATTCAAATCCCCACACAGCCATAGAAACTCTCTGGGTAACCTTGGACCAGTCACACTCTCTCAGCCTAGCCTATGTAACAGGGTTGTTATCAGGATAAATGGAGGAAAGGAGAATGATATAAGATACTCTGTGTCTCCACTGGAGACAAAGGCAGGATATAAATGAATTAAAGAAAAAGAAAAAATACACTTGTTCTCATAGGGAACTACTGGAGACTGCATTGTCAAATGTGGCATTGTCAAGGTATGGAAAGTCATCGTGCCCTTCTGCTAGGTACATGTTAGCTTGCTTCACTAAAATGCAGAACTTTTAATAAGAGTAACATAAGAAAAGGACAGAGGAAATGAATACACTTAAAGGAAAGAAGATTAATGAGGTACATAGCTATTTATTTTTGTATGAACAGGCAAGGAATTGCAGTGCATGTTATTTAGTAAAATAATATCCTGTCTGTTAAGATCAGTTGGGAAATGGGATGCTGCTAGTGGAAATGGAAAGATTTTAAAGAACAGACTGGATGAAGTTCAAAAATTTCTGGCAAGGATGCTTTAGGGATGGTACATTCTGTTTTAGTAAAAAGGTTTGGACTCAGACACTCCCCTAGAGTCCCTTTCCTGCTCTGTGTTTGGGTTTATTTCCCTCAAAAGTACAGAACATATCTTCAAGCAGGGATTTTCTTCATTCATATCAAATATGTAATTTTGCTTAATTGCTAGTTTTGTAGCTAGTTTGCTTGGAGGTGAGGGTTCTTCCCCCTCCCCAGCTCATTTTCAGAAATTCCCTGTACATGTATTGACTCAACTACTAACATTGGTTCTTTTGTACCTCCTCAGGCACAGGTATAATTAGGAGTGGTACAATTACAGCATATTCCACCAATTATAAACAACAACAACAAAAATGGTGTATTGACTTTAACAGACAGCTATGGTGACGGCTGCTGCATTTGATCATAGTGCATGTCAAGCTCTGCAAAGAAATACTCGAGCTTAGTGGGCAGTAATAGGATGAGCAATAATGCCTCCAAAATTGCATAGATCCTATTACCTCCACAAACATTGTCAGTGAAGGGCCTGTTAACACAATATTAAGGATATCTTATTTTGCATGTCATCAATCAATGGAGTCATGGTGGTCCACTGGATCAATGAACTGATAACTAAAATGATATGTTGGAAACATTTTGAAGGTTGCAAATATTAATGTGCATCAGTTATCTGAAACACTCACAAGGGATCCTGGCCAATGGCATCAGTCATCCAGGAGTCTGGCACCTCATAGTCACAATCATCTGAAAATAAGTCAGAGGAAATGAGCTTCTCTGGCTCTGCATTTTTGAATTGGCTTTCATCTCCAGATCATCTTCCTGTTGGAAAATGCAAGGTCTATCAGGCATAGATAAAGAAAATGACAAGAACATCCTGCAAGGGGCAGCAGAGGGGACAACTAGTTAGCATAGTGAGATTAGGGAATTGCTACTGTTTTCAAATGATCTACTTCCTGTCTCCTGATTGGCTCAGTTTTCCCCCACTTCTGTTGAGAACTGCTTGTTACTGACTCCCTCCTAGCTAGTTAGACAGTTAGACTACCCTTTCTCTCTCCTCTTTCTTAAAAAGTTTATTATCTTCTTAATAAACCGACTTAATTCTTTAAACAGCTTGTGCTCCCTTTTACTGCATATCTACACTCTGCCAAAATTCCCATCACTGACACAAGATGACATCCCATTTGCAGGACAAGCTTTGACTCTCAAAAGCTCATACCTCCAAAATCTTGTTGGTCTCTATGGTGCTACCAGAGTCAAATCTAGCTGTTATTTGGTTAAGTATCT